CCAACTTTTATTTGCGTTTGAGAGATTTTTCGTGAAGTTCTCGAGAGACTTGTCATCGCTGTAAACTGTTTCTTAAAGTCTATGTGTCTATTAACAACAGAACCTGAAAAAGGCTTGATCAAGAAAATTATTGTTTTGAACTAGTTTACCCCCAGTAAATTGCGAAATAAAAGTCGTCACCAATAAAAGTTGGTTTACAGTAAAAGTAGAGGACAAAAATTTTGTCTCATTTTCACAGGTGGCACATGTAAAATTAGAATTGTAAAGTAATTTAGAACTAAATATTACTTTCTTATGTGCTTGAAAAATGTAGCAATATTGCTAACTATCTCACCAGAAGGCACACTATGCAAATTTTCCGAACGTCCCTTTGGTATCATCTCTTCATCTCATAAAGTAGGTGTAAAAATTTATGCCAAATAAGTTTATGACAATGTATTGATATTTTATTGTACATTGAGTAAAGTTGAAATGGAATAGGTATCTTTAAGTCATGAAATTTTAAGTAAACCATAACCATTTACTCTTGAAAATTTCAAGACTCCTTGATTTCTTACTTTTTGTAGATTTTTGTAAAATGTTACATTGACTGATTTAACAGAGATAGTGTTCTCTTTCAGAGGATCCAGTGAAGATGTTTGATCACCTGACCTACCCTGTCCAATCACAGGTCAAGTTTATGATTGACATGTACAGCCAGCCAGGCACCGCCTCCCTTCTGTATGTTAATGACGCCAAAGTCCTGATAGACATCCTAATACGATTCCTTACTGACCTACAACCAGGAGACAAAGTAGGGGACTAGGGCTTACTCTCATTCTACATCAAATGTGTACTAAATATAAGAACTTATTTGACATTTTTTTCTTTCTTTCTTAATTATGTATGTGTAATATTACTTTATGCAAAAATTAGTGTCTGACTGAAACTCTGCACATACAGTACATGACATGTAGTGCATGTGTACATAGTTTTAAAATGGACATTTCCATAAATATGATGAAAAAAAAACTTATTGGAAGGAAAATTTATTGATATTTTTAAAGTAAACATCAGCTCTTAGCATCATAGCCTGTCAGTACCAATCTTTGTATTATTAACAAGATTTTTTTCTATTTTATTTATCTTGACATGTAGATATAAACATGTAATATTTCTATCAGTGTTTCTAAACTTTTAATGGATCCATCACTTTTGTCATTGCAGCTCCGGTCTTCAATTCTCATTCTGTTGAAACTCCTTGTGAAGAACTCAGATTACTTTGAGCACCAGCACAAACTGAGTGAACTGCAGGAGTGTTTGATGACAATCAGGAAGGAGGAAGAGGAAGCCACAGATCAGGACAGGAAGGAAGTAGAAGTTATCCTGGAGGAATTAAATAAACACATGGGGGACAAAGGGAGAGTGAAAGTAGAACACTGAAGGAAGGAAGGGAAAATTGCATTGTGGGATAAAGAACCTTACAGGAACAAAGTGATAGCCATGGCAGTATGCTGTCAACTTTTCCATATGCAGTAGGAAATTAGAAAAGGAAAAGGGAAGTTACTGTACTTACTCAACATTAGTTTATTTAAACACCATGGTTGTATTCACAAGTTATAGCATTTCCTTTATATAGCTGTATTAATCTGTATAAACCTGTACAAATTCAGCTTTCAAGGGTGCACAAGTTTTATTTTGTTTTTCACAGAGTGAAAATGTTTGATGTTGTTAAGTTCATACTGTGTTTGAATAGTAGATTTCTATGTTAGTTGTAAATGTATTTGCTATGTAACTTATTATGATATATGTGCCATATTACTTTGATGTATGTATACCCCTTACCCATTTGAAACAAATTTCTTATTTTTGGTCATTATAAATGTCCAAAAGTTGTGTTGTAAACTTAAACTTTTAGTTTTCTTACTGTATTCAAAAAAGCTTGACATTTGTAAAAAATGAACACCTACCAAAGAAAATAATCATTATTGCTACATTTACAATGTGTCCAGCTTTTATCATACATGTAATGATACTCCTGCATTATATTTCTGTGATGTTTCATACAATTAGGCATATACGCAAGAATGATATTTTCATGAGCACATTGTCTCGCATAATAACACAAAATTCTTGAAAATTAAAAGTGATTTACAGTACATATAAATTATACATAACTTTCAGTAAGATAGTCAATACACAGACGGTATAGTGTATACTGTAAACCAATTATTATACGCGTCATTTTTTATTCGCGACTGACCGCTAGAGAACTCATCCGCGACGATTTATTTCCGCGAACAAGTGGTCATATTTTTTATTATTTCCACAAGTATTTTTTTGTATCAAATTAAAATTTTATATTCGCCCATAAACTAGGTAAAATGCTACCGTGAGTACTATTTACGCATTATCATTCAAGATATTCTGTGCATTGCGTCCATTTAAAATCTTATATCCGCACCTAAAGCAGGTAAAATGTTACCATGAGTATAATTCTTACGCATTATTCACGACGCTCGAATGAAAATCGGGGAAAAAATCGGGGAGATTAAATTGACGCTTTACAAGATCTACATAGCCAAAGGGCAATTATTGTAAATGGTTGGGACAGAGCAGGACTTGGCCATAATTAGTCGGTAATTAACCAGGCTATCTCTAACTCGTCTGTGACAATAACATGAATAAAGAACAATAATAACACAAGCTGAAATAATTATTGACATTTTAATCATTTTTAGACAAATAGTTTTAGATTCGCCATTCGTTTCTATATTTTTTCTGAATGTTTGTAATTAAATTTCAACTGCTTCCAGAACACTAAAGTTCTTCCGTGATTACTTATTGAACCGTCGGGATCGGTATTCAAAAAGGGCAGATAACTCTAATCATAACATGGGAAAATGAACAACTGGTTCGCGACGATAAATATCCGCGAGCAGATGTTACTCGCGGAACTCGCGGATATTTATCGCACGCGTATAATACTTGGTTTACAGTATATAGGACTGAGTTGCTCAGCAGTGTATAGGAATTTTATCTAGGAGATAATATATGTGTTTATTGCGATTTTAGTGCTTCAGTAATCTACTGATTATATGGAAGACTGTTTGATTTTATTAAGTGATATTACATAGCTGGTTTTATATCATTGTATTGTATAAAGTGCTCTATATTCACTTTCCTCTACGTTGAAAAATTTCAATTGCTGAATTGAAAAATTTCATTGGCATTAGTGTACTTTCTTCTCAAATTTTCACAGTTTAAAAGTGTTTAAAGTATTCTTATTGTGTGTCATTTGTCAGGTTACTCTTGTTTTTCAAGGTGTAAAGAAAGAATTCAATGATTTTGAGAATTTTTCTTCATATTATTTTTCTATTTTACATTTGGCAGATTAAAACATTTATTGTTAACCAGGATGCATAATCCTTTGAATAAAAACAAGGAATATGGCACAAAATTACACTCTTCAGCAAATAAAATGTGTTTTAACATTTATTTGATGTAATCTATGGTATCATTGTGCATATATATTTTCCATCTTGTCAAGAATTTTAGGCTTGGGAATTTTTACAGACATTCAGGTCTAAAACAGGATTTTAAAAAAAGATATAGATAAAATTTATCTACGGAAATAATTTTACATATAGCCAAAAAAAAAAAAACCCAACTGACAAGTTTGAAATACACCCACATTTATAACAATATCCAGGTGTATTGTAAAATAAGAACCAGGACTCGGATTTTGTATGCTTTGTTGTGAAGTGTAATTTAAACTCAATAAATACAACTCACTAAAGTGTGAAATATGAATTTTGTTGTCATCTGTGCAGATGCTTTAATTGCATCTATGTCATGCATGTTGTATGTTGCTAGGGGCAATCTTAAAGAAGGTAGTGTAGTAAGCAAGAAGAAATGATAAGAAAATACATGTAAAATGCTGGACAGGGAATCAGACTTTGGACTCCTGTATCATTGGTCAGGTACTTTATCAAACGAGCTACGTATACCACTGTCAATATCTACGGATCATGTAGCCAAAACTTCTACAGTTAATCAAGCATTCCACTAAATGTATTGTTTGAAATCTTAAGATTTTAGTAAGTTTTAATATGCTAGCAGTTATTCAGCCAACCTTATTGTTTTTTATTGAATCCTAGATTTTGGTCAGGTTTCATATGCAGCAATTACTCAATTGCAATCTTAAGTCTCAATATCATTAAAAAAAATATTTTTTAAAACTTGGACGAATTCCAGATTATATTATTTACGGAGATACCAGGCCCCGGGATCATGAAACATCTTAAGCTTAAGTCAAAATCTTTACTTTATGATAAAATGGTGTACAGGTCTTGCAGACCAAAATTAAAACATTTTTCAACATTGCTTTACAGAAGTATTGTTATCTGCAAATTTCTAAATAAATTCCTCAATCAATGAATATTTGTAGGCGATTGAAAATTTGAATTAAATCAGTTTGTTTCATGACCCTGGGGCCTGGCCTTTGGATATTTCTCAGATGCGTGTTCTATACGAAATCTCCTTGGTCAATTGCTTGAAGTATTTTTTTTTAATTTAGTATAAAATATTCATTAAAAAACCCGATTAAACCATTAGTTAATTTATACATCTCCCTTGATCTAAAATGTAACGAGTGTGAAGAATTATCCTCCTCTTTTAAAAGGGGGAAATTCGAAAATTTTTACTAAATAAGCTTTAATTTTTTTTTTAAAAAATGCCATCATTTCAAAATTCGATCCTATATATGCATTATTTTTTTTATATGTGGCATCTTAATTAAATTTTATAATTTCAAATCAAACTGCTGCTTTCATTGCCTTTGACTAGGACTTCAGCAAATGGAAACACATACGAGGGTACGAATAACTTAAAGATTTTGTAACATATAACTATATTTAAAAACAAAATTATACCACCAGGAAAATGATAAAGCGGCGATTTTCCTAATGACACCCTGAAACAGTAAAAATTCTCACGATTTTGATTTACCTGTATTGAATATGCATAGATCTTTTTTACATTCAAACTAAAGATTTTTCAAATTCTAAAGTTTTATTTTACATTGCTGACACCCAGTAATGGAGTTTAATTGTGAAGTACACAAAACTAGTATTATGGACTTATTGAATCAATACAGGATAGTCAAATATATATAAGAAAGAATTTACATGTGTAGCATTTTATTTCATTTTCTGGTCGTATCATACAGATAATTTTTCGGAAAGCTGCAGAGGACCCATTATGAAAGGAAGTGTAATAATAGTTCGTTGAAAAGCATTGTAAATTATTTTATACCGGTACTTCATATATATGATTTTCTTAACATCACCGCTATAATACTCTCCAGCAAACAAATTTTCTCGTTTATCCACACATACACCATATGGATTCTTCAGAGCACAGTTGTCTATATAACGGAGGAACACCCCATCCTGGTCTAGTATGTGGATACAATGGTTTTTAAAGTCTGCTGTCAGGATCTGACTCTGACTCTCAGTGGTTATTCCAAAAAGGTTGAATGGGTTGGTGTTTGGTGGAGAAGAATGACCGGTGTATCTAAATCGGAGTTTTCTTGTTCAGTTGTAAGTACAGTGTATTATGCACTTAATTAATCTAATTAATCAGTACATCGGGTAGACAAATATATAAGAAATACATGAGCGGCATTTTAATTGAATTTCAGGTCGTATAATGCAAACATTTTTTTTTCAGAAAGAATTCCATGCAAAGAATTCAGTATGAAAGGAAGTGTAATATTGGGTCTTTGAATAGAAACTATATATTAATTTTCACTTCACATATTTGATTTTCTTAACATCACCGCTGTAATACTCTGCCACAAACAGATTGTCTCTTTTATCCACATATATACCATACGGATTCTTCAGGTCACAGTTATCTATATAACAGAGGAACACTCCATTCTGGTCTAAGATATGAATACAGTGGTTATTACAATCTGATGTCAAGATATGACTCTGACTGTCTGTTGTTATTCCATAAGGTTCAAATGGCGCGCACTTTGCAGTAGAAGAATGACCGGTGTATCTAAACCGGAGTTTTCCGGTCTGGTTAACCACAACTACAGCTTCAGCTCCACAATCAGCCACACAGATATCCAGGTTTCTGTTCTCAGTGATGTATTTCATAATTGTATTTCCTGAATATAAAGGTTTACCCTCATCATCAAATTGGATGGTTTGTTTCTCTATGGAGCCTGAGTAACGCGCAACTTTGGATTGTGTCTGATCATCACTGTACAAGGTAACCAGGAGATCGCCAGACGAGGTGACACAGAGTTGTAAAGGTGTCCAGTCCTGAAATCTGATTACCTCCTCTATCTGTTCATTAGTTACTTTATATATAGTGCTTGTTCCCCAGTCAGAGTAAACTAGATCCCCAACATTTGTCACTGCTATATCATATGGTGATTCCACTGATTTTATTTTAATTGACTTTATAAGTGATCCTTGAATACTAAAGCATTTCAAATCACTGACATCACTTGCTATTGTCCAGATTTCTTCTTCTTCAAAGCAGGTAACACAGCGGAGATTGTCGTACCCGGTATTTATAGTAGTGATAAGGTTTGGTTCCTCTAGAAAGTTTCTGCTGAGTGTAACTGGTTTCTTCAGCTTGTATCCATTTTCTTCTGTTGTGTTGTATAAAGGTGTCAAATATCCAAACAGCGTGCAAAACTGATCTGTGTCTATTGTCTTTAAACTAAACCTTGGTAATGAAACTTGGACTTTGGGAGGAAGTCTGCTAAATTCTTCTGTTTGAGGGATGTATTCCATGGTTAGAAACACTTCCTTAGAGTCTTCAATTCTATACAGGTTAAGCAGTGTTTGTTCAATACGATATTGTATTTGTTTGATTTCATCCAAATGTTCTTTCAGAATATTCTTGTGTTTAATTTTTAGTTCTTCAATCTCTACTTTCATTTTATCCACAATGTTACTGATTACTCTGTGACAGTCTTCTCCATGTTCCGTCACTGTTGTGGTAAGTTTCTCATATTCTTCGTCCAAGTTAGCTATTTGAGTTTCTATGTCTGTTGCTACTTCTTCATACGTTGGAGAAATTATGTTTTCCAGAGCTTCTGTATCATTTTCAATGACTTCTTTCTTCGCATTATAGACATCTGAGAGAGTTGAAATTGTATGCCCCTTGTGTGTATCAGATATTATAGAACACAAAGAACATACAGAAATATCACATTCTTCACAGTAATATTTGCAGCTTTTTGTTTGATGTGCGATACATTTAGGATAAATCAAGGTTGATTTCCTCTGCTGGACTGGGACAACTTTGTGTTTATCATAATCATCAGAAATATGCTTTCCTGTGCAAGAAATGCACAGGTTAACTTGACAGAAATCACAGTACATTTGCATTATAGCGTCCTCACAAAGGTCACATCGGATGACATCTTGTGCACTTTTACTTGGATCCATCTCCAATTCAACATTCATACATGCATCTGTTTAAAATTGAAAATAAATAAGTAAATAAATATCTTACGCAATTCTCTACAAAAAAAATGAGGTCTGGTATATCAACGAATATTTAATCGTCATTTCCTCTGCATGCTCTGCTTTACTGAATCACAACAATGCATAATTATTTTATTCCGAAGATATCATTTAAAATGATAAGACAATTTTGTCTGGGAAAACATACCCCTGTTCTCCATAGTAACCTATGTCTATATTATATTTTATTAGTTCATAATGAAGGAAAATAAAGGATTCCGTTAAACCATAGAACACGTGATAGCACAGATTAATCACTTTACAAGTTGAATTGTCGATAAAAAACTATGATATTTCCGCCTTTCCAAATATCTTAATCGATTGACTTATTATTATAAAATATATATGGTTGATTAATGTTCATATTTTGTATGGATTATAAGTAAGAAAGCAAGTCAGAAAATATTGTTAATATATTATCATTATATATATATGGTTGATTACTGCTCATATTTTGTATGGATTATAAGTAAGAAAGCGAGTCAGAAAATACTGTTAATATATTATCATTATATATATTATTATTATTATTATTATAAATTTTTGCTATGAACATTGTTGCTTCATTTGGTAGCCTTGTATAGAGAGTGCTGTCTTTTATCAATGCAGCTGATGCAATTTTATTTCATCTCTTGAACCATATGTATGCATCTCTTAAGTAGAACACTTACTTTGTCAGTATTCAGCCAATTGAATTTAAGATTTCCATCATTTACAATAAAAATACATTGTACGTGTGAGTAAAAATATATTAATCTAGAACTCCATTTTCATTTGCATCAGTTGTCTTAATGCCACACTGGTCTCCCTCCCTCCCTTTTGCAGCAATATACCTTTATCACCTACATACGACATTTATATCTCTTAATTGATTCGATACGCAAGAACATGCTCTACGTATGAACAATTTTTAAAACGAAGTAAGTTATTGACAAATAAGTTGCTAAAACAAGAATATCAGCAGTCTCGTTTAAAGTCATTATTTCAAAACTTTTATTTATGAATGACTCTAATCCCAATCTAATTAAAATCATACCTCTTAGATCCGCGTCGTATTCACTCTTACGCAGAGTGAATACAGCGCGGATCTAAGAATGGAATGACTAATTCTTGGTCAAATAAGTCGGCCAAGAATTAGAGTCATTCCTTATAATTTAATTTTAATATCAATAAACAACTCTGGGTGTAAATTTTTTTTTGCTTTTTATTAGTTCACATTTGCTGCTCAATAATACAACAGTAGTAACAGAAGTGATGGGAAGCAAGAGGAGGGAAAAACTCACAAATAGGCCTAGCAACCATGTTGTTTGTTTACATGTGGTAAAATCAAGTAGCTGTTTGAAATTAATTGTACATTTATTTAATCTGAAATTTTCCATGAATCCTGAGGACTGGAAATGGGAGGATTGCATGGATACAGATAATTCAGATGGTTGTCAAGTGGGTGTGTCATCATACCAAACCAGGTTATACAGAAATAATTCATGTTCTTAATTAATCTAAACTTTTTAAGTTTTTCATACTAGTCTACATGTAATTGTTAGGTCATTATGTAAACACTGAATTGTCAACGGATTTTCCCCTTATTTCTCGATCATGACAAGAAGCATATGACGGGTGTGACCGGTCGGCATGGGGATACTCACTCCTCCATGGCATCTGATCCCACCTCTGATGCTTTGGAGGTCCGTGTTGGCTCTGTTTCTATTTTGTATTTTTTAATAGAATTTCGAGTTTGAATACTGTTCGTTATTATCTCCATATATATTTCATGGATATATTCATAATTTAATTTTAGTTTTAACATGTCATTGATTAGATAAACGATTTATTATACCCCCACCTGAAAAGCGGGAGGGTATAAAGTAATCGGTATGTCCGCCCGTTTGTTACGCTTTAGGATACCTTTCTCTTATCCACAACTCCTCTCATACCACTGAATGACATTTGATGAAACTTTCACAGAATCTTTATTACATATTCCATTGTGCACCTCCTATTTCATTTTTTTGATCCGACACATATTTTGGGTTTTCCTCAGCAAAACATGGACACTGCCATTATACTCATATGGGAGGCGGGGGTATCATTTAGTGAGCTCATTGCTCATAGTTTGATATTTTTTTATATTGTATGACATACGTCGCATGTATCACAATGGGTTACGCCAAAAACATATTACTCAGCTTGAGGCTGATTTTTATAAAGAGAAAAGAAAACAAAAAAGCCCAATGGGGTTACTGTGATGTAACAATACAGATACAGAACAATTCTTTGCCTTCTTTTTATCCATTTCTTTCATTTAAACCTTTTCTGTTTGCTAGTGTAGACAGATTCTAGTTAACTCTTAAATGTCAATATTTTAATAGGGAGAAATGATGTATGAGGACATATCTTTTCGTGAAATGAGTTGTGAGCAATTGCGCCTTAAAATAGAAAGCAATCTACACCTTTTGATACAAAAACAATGGGCGATTATAGCATTAGGACAATGGTTGGTGAAAGCGTACAAGAAAATGTAATGGTAAAAAGAAAACGGCGCAACAAAATTTGACTTCTGAACCAAATGCATCACTTTTGATCACAGAATAATGTCAAATGCGTATCCGCATCAAATCATTGTATTGAGTGAGACTCTTGCGCATTCACCTTTCAAGTTCCACTTAGCAGTCTCATCAGATACCGTCCCAAGCACAATATCGAATTAGAATTAGGTGATTGATTGATTGTATATTGTTTAACGCCCCTCTCGAGAATTTTTCACTCATATGGAGACGTAATATCGCATTAGGCCTCCTGTGCTAATTCGAAATGGAGGATAACTGAGTACTCATTAGGGTCAGGAGCAAATCAAGTATGAGACTGCAAGGCTTCCCATTAGCGTCAGGAGCAAATCAAGCATGAGACTGCAAGGCCATAATTAAATGCTCGGGTTTCAGGAACTGTTTTAGAGAATTCTGCACAGCCACCGATACCGACGAATCATACCTCCATGGATGCGCTGCATCAAATACCAGCGGATAAGCTGCATCAAATACTAGCGGATGCTGAAAGCAGGAAAAGGAGTCAAAGCGCGCAATTGAAACTCAGGGACAAGCACAAACTCAAACTACCGATTCTGGACATTCAAAAGTGCTGATGCAGAAAAGTCAGAATAAAATAGATAACAATGAAAAAAAGATTAAGACAAATGCAAGATTTCCCAGAGAATCTTTTGAGAGAGAGTGCAAGTATCAGAGGTTAAATGGCACTATTGCTCAGAAGAAATACACGTTTGGAAGACGTGTTTGGAAGAATTGCCATAGTTGAAGAACAGAGCTCGACCCAGAGAAAAGGATAGACAAGACATGTATCAATGTTAGATGGCGGAGGCGCATGTCAAAGTCGCAGTAGACTTTAAAGGTGAAAAAAACCTCCAAAACAACGGCAATGTTGGTGCAAGCAATTTATGTAAGGAAGCAGGTTCTTTGTCCAGGGAAATTTGAATGGAAGTAGTGCAAAGCTCTTGATTCACATTGGAGGATTCCTTACCCTTATTTCCAAGAAATTATGTATATTAAATGTTGTTTAATTATTTATTGATTACTCCCGATGACACCTAGCTGTCACATCTGTGTTTTGTCCCCTGCTGGGTAAAACGCAAACCTGCAGTGCAGTTTTTTTCTTTTTATTGGCTTCTCCACTAGTGACAATACCCAGCTGCCTGCACCTAATTAGGGTACTGATATTTTTGTATATTATGAGGACTTCCCACTTCTGACCAATCACAGGTCAATTTGTCAATTGATGAAAAAAAATTGCAACGGAAAGGCCATTTTGTACTTTCGTCCTGCCTTCCCTCCTCTCACCAATATTTTAATAAATTAATAATTAACTTATAATTATTAGTTTCGTTTAGTTATTTTGCTAGTAAGATTTTGGGGCATTGTTTTATTCCTCATTTTTCAATTTGCCTACACACATTATATAATGTTTCATAATCTACTTATGTGATCAGCTAAATGAAACCATGGATTCATTTCACCAATGCCAGTCTTACATGTTTTCATTTCTCATACATCAGCTGGGCTAGTTATTATTTACATGAAGGAGAAATTAATTGTTAAAACATAAGTATGACATCATCTTTTGTTCTTTTAATGCTTTCTATTTCTTGCAAGGCCCAAAACAGTCCAATAAGTTAGCTGAAGCTGTCCAATAAGTTTAAAAGTCTGTCTATTATTAAAAATAATGGACAGTTTTCAATAACTTATTGGATGGCTACAGGTAACTTACTGGATTAAGAAAACACAACACAAATATTTTTCAGGCAATGAATCCAACATGTTTCACAGTATAAATCAAATAATCCATTCCAAGTCACAGAAACAAAAACTGAAACTTTGTAATTATTCCAATAAATGAAGAAACGTATATTCCAACTCCCAATGAATATCAAAACTTAAATTTGAAGGAAATATCTCTGAATTCTATTGGAATGTAATTTGCACCAACAACACACGAGGGGATATCACTTCTCCTGGCAAGAATCAATCGCTCCTTAAATTCTTATTTCTCACTAGTACTTTGATTATTTTGCTCGTTTTTCTACAGGAGCACACCCATCGTTTTTTTCTACTACAGGAATGCAAGAGTGTTTTGTCAATAGTCTTGTCTACTCATCTCCCGATTTGTTGATTTTTTTTATCACTCAACACCTTGACGTCCTTAAGCATGAATACACCAACGTTGGGTACCGTGTAACATTCTCTATGTCAGTTAAAGAACACAATAATTACACGCTTATATTTCTGCTCTGATTATCCTCTTCTAAATCATCTAAATATTGTTGATTAAATTACGGAAATCTTTCTACATTTCCTTTGCTTTTCTGCATCCTTGAAAATCCTTGACCAAATGTTGAGAAATATTTGAAAAATAAAACGTCCACTTTGAGCTCAAAGTTCATTTTCTTGACAATCCTAGGCTCAAAATATCACGAGATTGACATATGCATTGCCCTTCATATCTGAAGTTGTTTTGCATCGAAATATGCTTCCTTGGAAGAAGACATGCTTTTAACATTCACAATCACAACAAAATCGTGTTGGAATCTCATGCCTTGTGATTAAATATTCTTTAGTCAGTTGTTTAAAAATTGCACTTACCTGTAAATGTCCACTAAGTTAACAATTACTATGAATTCAAGTTTCTTTTGATTGTAAATAACCTTCACCTGAGACAGTCCAATAAGTAGACAATGCTTACTTAATACAATGGATGAGAAAATGTTCCAAGAGAGTACATTATGAACACAATAGGGTAAATTTTTTAAGTAGGTTATAGGCCGCAAACTGTCCACTCTGTGAGAAAAAAGAACAATTCTCGGGCCTAACGGCCCTCCAACAGTTCTTACTTCTCACAGAATGGACAGTTTTTGGCCTATAACCTTTACATAGACTGCAGAAAGAAACACCTAAACTCAAGTACACCGCACAGCGAATATTCAATGCTTGCGGTTCCGTTCTGTCCTGCTATGGTAAAGCAACATTTTCTCTTAAAATTGGTGAGTAAGATAAAGATACTGTTATTGCTGTTAATTGTATTATTACGGAAATATTGGACTTGATTTCTAAAAGAAGTACAATTTGCTGATAGATCTTCAAAAGAGTTCACTGCGATAAAATGATGAAAAAATGCGCATTTTCCTAGGAAGTTACAATAGGTTGTTACTAAAACATAAATTATGATTGTAAAACAGCACATGGGTTTTGGAACATTTTTTTTGTCTTTTTTGTGAGAAATAAAACCAATATATAAAGACACGCTAACATAGCTGTCCAGTGAACCAATCCAAAACCTTGAAATATTTCAGAAATACAAAAAAAAAAACAAAAACATTTATCTCGAAGAATCAATTCTTCGCGTGAAATTTGAGCATTTGATCGGCTGAATGAGTAGGTTATGTTCGAAACCTTAGAAGCACTTGTATTCTGAACTTGGTACAGAGTACATTATTTTATATACTGAAAGGAAAAAAGAAACGCGGAATGAGCCATTTAAGGTGAAATCATTTTATTTTTCCTTATTTATTTCCTAGATTTCCTGTCTATAGTTTAAACTTATCTTTAATGAAAATGTAACCAAATACCAATTTGATTTTGCCTCAGAATTCATGAGTTATTGAAACTCATATATTGATACCCCCAAAAAGTGAAAATTGAAATTTCTATAAGATCTTCAATGTCTTCTTCGCGCATCTGCCATCGCCTTGATTCTCCTTTGCATGGCGTCTATCAAAAAATCTATATCTTTCAATGTAAAGCTTGGAGTCAATATTGTAGACCCATCCTACCCCTTGGGGTCATGATTTGAACAATTTAGAATCTACACTACACCAGGATGCTTCCACATAAGTTTCAGCTTTCACATAAGTTTCAGCTTTCCTGGCCCAGTGGTTCTTGAGAAGAAGATTTTTAAAGATTGTTCCTAAATATTTCAATGTACCGCTCTATCCCCGGGGGTCATGATCTGAACAATATAAAATCTACACTACTCTTGGATGCTTTCACATAAGTTTAAGCTTTTCTGGCCCAGTGATTCTTAAGAAGATGTTTTTAAGATTTCAATGTAAAACTTGGATTCCATATTGTGCCCTCGCCCCATCCCCGGGGGTCATGATTTGAACAAATTAGAATTTACACTACCCTAAGATGCTTCCACTTAAGTTTAAGATTTTCTGGCCCAGTGATTCTTGAGTAGAAGATTTTTTTAATGACCCCACCCTATTTTTGTCTTTCCTTGATTATCTCCCTTTGTGAAGGGACTTCATTTTAATAAACTAAATTCCCCTTTCCCCAAGGATGTTTTGTACCAAGTTTGGTTAAAATTGGCCTAGTGGTTTTTGAGAAGAAGTCGAAGATGTTAAAAAGACGTTAAAAAGTTTACAGACGGACGGACGGCCTTCGGCTCAGGAGAGCTCAAAATCTTCTCAAGAGCCACTGGGCCAGAAAAGCTGATACTTATGTGTAAGCATCAAGTAGTAGTGTAGATTCTAAATTGCTTAAATCATGATCCGGGGATAGGGTTGGGCCAGAATAGGGAATCCAAGTTTTACATTAAAACATATAGGTTAAATCTTTTAAAATCTTCCTCTCAAGAACCACTGGGCCAAAAAAGCTGAAACTATGATTTTCATATTTCAAATGTGTTTTTTTCTTGTGACAAGACCTTCATTTTGGTTCTACCAAATTTGACTCTTGATCTTGGAGTTTGACAAACATTCCCAAAAGATAACCACACTTTAACATTGGCTTTAACTTATGAACAATTGATACTTGGGCTTTTTTTTTTACTTCACATGTGAATTCAACGGGACAAAACCTTTCAGTGGGTATGCATATTTTTGAACTTTTGACATTTACCTTAGAGTTTGACCCTCCTTTTAAACAAGAGGCCCATGGGCCACATCGCTCACCTGAGAAGCTTTGACCATTCTGTTCTTTACCAGATTTCCCCCTTGTTATACATAATGCATCCCCACCCTACCACACTGATCATAATTTAGACATTTTGAAATCTACGCTACCCCATGATCCTTCCATGGGCACATATGTTTCAGCTTTTTTGGCCCAGTGGTTCCTGAGAAGAAGATTTTCAAAGATTTTTCCTATATATTTCTATGCAAAACTTTGATTCCCTATAATGGCCCCACCCTTCCCCCGGGGGTCATGATTCCTACAATTTAGAATTTACACTACCCCAGAATGCTTCCACATAAGCTTCACTTTTTCAGGTCCAGTGGTTCTTGAGAAGAAGATTTTCAAAGATTTTTCCTATATATTTCTATATAAAACTTTGATTCCCCATTGTGGCCCCGCCCTTCCCCCGGGGGTCATTATTTGAACAATTTAGAATCTACATTATACCAGGATGCTTCCACATAAGTTTCAGCTTTTCTGGCCCAGTGGTTCTTGAGAAGAAGATTTTCAAAGATTTTTCCTATATCTTTCTATGTAAAACTTTGATACCCCATTGTGGCCCCGCCCTCCCCCTGGGGGTCATGATTTGAACAATTTAGAATCTACACTATACCAGGATGCTTCCACATAAGTTTCAGCTTTTCTGGCCCAGTGGTTCTTGAGAAGAAGATTTTCAAAGATTTTTCCTATATATTTCTATGTAAAACTTTGATTCCCCATTGTGGCCCCGCCCTTCCCCCGGGGGTCATTATTTGAACAATTTAGAATCTACATTATACCAGGATGCTTCCACATAAGTTTCAGCTTTTCTGGCCCAGTGGTTCTTGAGAAGAAGATTTTCAAAGATTTTTCCTATACATTTCTATGTAAAACTTTGATTCCCCATTGTGGCCCCGCCCTTCCCCTGGGGGTCATGATGTGAACAATTTAGAATCTTCACTACCCAAGGATGCTTTTTACTAAGTTTGGTCAAAATTGGCCCAGTGGTTCTTGAGAAGAAGTCGAAAATGTGAAAAGTTTACAGACGGACAGACAGACGGACAGACAGACAGACAGACGGACGGACGACGGACAAAATGTGATCAGAAAAGCTCACTTGAGCCTTCGGCTCAGGTGAGCTAAAAACTTTACCCTTAGCCATACCTTTTGAACAGTTAGTAATAGCCCCTTAGGGCTTTCATATTTTACAGGCGTATTTCTTGTGACAAGATTTTCTTTGAGTACCAACAATTTTGACCTAATGACCTTGAAATTAAAGTTTGACTTTCATTTGAGAAACTTCAATTCTCGCCATTAGTTGCCATCAGTGTTGCCGGAAACACGTCTTTTTTCTCCTTACTATCACAGGTAGCAACAACTCCTTTCAAAGCCAATGTTTTTTTCGTTTACTAATACAGCCAGATAATTATCTGTTTAAAATCAATGCTTCTACACGCACTACATTTTAATACAGCCAGACAATTACCCATTAAATTTCAATGTATATTCACTTTTAACACAGCCAGATACTTACCCGTTAATTGCCGAAGCTTTTCTGCTCACTAGTATAGCTAGATACATTCCCGTTTATTGCCAAAGCTTTTCTGAGCACCAGGACAGCCAGAAACTTACCCATTAAATTTTCTTCGGGGCAGCTGTGTTCGCCGTGATCACTAGATTCTGACCCGCTGTCACTGGCAGTGCGTCTGTGTTCAAACACATTCTCCTCGGTATTTTCTTGAGGTCCGTGGTTTTTCAACACTTGTTCCCTATGCAGTTTAAGTTTACTGAAAAATATTATTAAAAAGTCTGTGCAATATGCACAACAGGCCGATGGGCAACACCGCTCACCTTGTCACCCTAGCAAATTATTAGGAAAAAATCAGTACAGCATTGAAAAGTTTACCTCAGGGCAGACTTAAGTTTACTCTACCCGAGGATGTTTTCATATCAAAATACATTGTTCTTGATGTCATGTTGTCCAAATTTACAACATGATACTGAGAGGATAAAATTTCCCCTCAAAGAGAGTAAGGTCCTTCATTTGAACAAATATGAGTTCCCTTCACCAAAGCATGTTTTGTGGCAAGTTTGTTTAAAATTGGTTTCTTGGTTCTTGCGAAGATGTCGTAAATGTGCTTGCTCTTTATAAGTACATTAATTATTTTAAATGCAATTAGAATAATTTTTGTACTTATATTTCTGGTAAACAAGTCAGTTTAATAAAAAGATTTAGATTTTCTGACAACAATCATAATTCATAAAAAACAAATGTAGTGATCTATAGATAAGGGCACTGGAGGTTAAGGTGGAGAGGGACAATCAAGCACAATTCAGCAAGGAATTCGAATAAAGAAATTCTGTTACAAGGATAATATTTATATACATGCACATATAGATGTATTTACATACTGCAGGTTTTCTCTTTGGTGGTGTGTGTAGGTCCCAGAGGCAGCGGCCTGGTAGTGTATATTTGTTATTGCCCTATCTACTAAGCCCAGAATCTCGGCCAAGGTGGACTGTAATAAAGATAAAAACTTCCAGCTGTAATATATTGTCATTATTCTTAAATGTGATTGCTTTGGGATGTTTTAAATATCTTTTAAATTAATATATTACCTATGCAGGTTAAGTTTAATTAATACATAGAATATATGTAGGAACACTATTACGCAAAATAAAGTAAGTATATGCATTTATTTAACTAGCTAAAATAAATAATAGTACATGTGAATAATTGTTTAAGGTATGTTCAAGTCTGGAAAATTACTATATTTCATGTAGCGATGATTTTCAACGCTGTAATAATCTGAAAAACCGTAGGAACCGTCTCATTCCTTAGTGGGTTTCAAATTCACGTCGTCGAGATTAAATCTGCGACCTGACAGAGCAGGCATTTTAACCACAGCGCCGAGTAGGCGACACAATTGTAATGTAATAACAAGTTTTCCAAAGTAATTGAAAACGACTGCTTTTATAATATGGATGAAAAAATTGGTTATATGTTTTGTGCAAAGACGTCTGTACCCGACTAGGAAGTTTCGATTGCCTTTTACGGACAGTGTTTTTGGAAAGACTTGGTTTTTATGAAAAAACAGGACACCAACAACCATCTTCCAACATATGAGATAGCTATCCCATAAAATGGTATGGGGAATTCTGTGAACCAGGTCATATTAAATATCATTTTGACCCCATTTTACCCCAGGGGGAGAATGGGATTTTCAAAAGTTATTGCACATCTATACAGATCACACCCATCATCTTCCAAAGCATCATAAGGCTACTGCATAAAATATATGCCTTGGGAAGTTTTGGGAACAAAGTGTTTGCAGAAAAACCGTCATTTTATCTCCCTTTATCCTAACAAAAAGTATATAATTAACTATAGTTTGATATACTGAAATAAAGCTAACTTTAATAATTATAAATTTTCTCTATAGTAAATCAAAGTAATTTTGAATTATGAATTGCAAATCTATATATATCATTTTCTAATTCCTACAATTAGCAGTTCATCGGAAACAAATACGGGGTTTTTAGGTCCAAAGTAGAGGATAAGGGGTGTCCTCCTGTTGAAAGGGGGAATGAAGAGTCTCCCTTGGATATTTTTGGTGGTTCAAAATGGTGCATTTTTAAGCATCATAAATTGAATCTCATTTTCTTGCTTTTAAATTCTACTAGTCATACAAAATTTTGATTAGAATTCAGTATACAAATTAAAGTTGTAACCATGATACCTTTCACTTACTTAAGCTATTCTAAATATTCAATAGTAATTGTTTTTTAAAAATAAATACATTTACATGTATAGCTTCTTTGTTTTTATTACATTGTACATACGGGATGTGGAGAACGGTCATGCAGAAGAGACCGTTTAAATCGAGATCCCATATTTAAGAAGGTGCTTTCCCGAAAAATGATCCCTTATTGCTCAATGGCCTTGAGTCCGGAGTATAGGTATGAATTGGCAGCCCTCCACCGACAAGTGTTGGCGTCTCCATTTAAGTAAAAAAAGATGTCGAGAGGGACGTTAGATAAGAAATTCGAATTTATTTAAGGTTGAATCCTACTGATCATTTATCCCAAGTGGGTCTTCGTACTTAAACATGTCGTAAAATTCAAACTTATAACAATTTACAATAAAGTTTCTCTGATTTACAGGTATCTATTTTTACATAAAAAATCTTTCTATGTTGTATTAATGACCAAGACGTGTGCCTAAGAAAGTCGACGGTCGAATAACTAGTGCAATCAAGAGGGGAAGAAGACGGGATCACCCGTTTCAAAGCGACATGAATGTCGAATGGCATTCCGTTAAAAGAGCAATCCGACAGAAATTTTAAAACATTAAAAATCGCCGATATCACCGATGCAGGTAAGTCTTGTTTTCACAAGAATCACAAATGAAGAACTTTCGAAAAGAGCAGGGGTTTAGAACCACAAAAATGAGATGGAGAAAACCATGCAAATCAGATTGAGAAAGTGAATATGACAGATCCCAGGGAAGCCACTATCTAAAACCACACACCAGGACCCAATCCGGAACCCGCAGGGCAAGAGAAAGAGAGGACATCCAACAAACTATTATGAAGTTTTTATTTGTTAAAGGATTACTTTTTGTTCATGAAAAGCTTTTCTTAACAAAATTGCAATTATTACCTGAAATTATCACACTAATTTTGAATATTTGGTGAATAAAACACATACTTTGAAGCCTAAATGCCTTGATTTATTTTCATTAAATGCTGAAAAAGAAATAGGGGGTAAGGATATAGAAAAATATCCGAACTTTCTTATATGTACACTACCCCCTACTTTTCATGCTACGAGGTTTGATCAAAAAGTTCGGGAACTATCTCTATATCTACAAAACCACATTTCAGATTAGAATAAAAAATTGGTACACACATAGCCATACACAAGTTCTATAAATAGCATATGCTGAATAAACTTTTGCTCCTTGTTTGTGACGTCACTATGTGAAAATGACGTCACTATGTCGATCACTTCGGACAAGAAATGGTTGTCTCAGTCGTACTCGTTCAACAAACGACTGTACAATTTATGGTATATCTGAGAAATTCCTTTGCAGTAGCGTATAATAATTTGTACACAGTTTATTAAGAGAAAAGACTTCTTATAAATTCAATCAGTTCTTGGATTGATCGTTTTATTTAAGGAAAGCAGATGGTAAAAATGATAATGTTATGTTTCCCAGTGAAAGCAAGTTTGAAAAGAGATGCATTTTTATAATTAAGCAATTTTTACCAAAACCTCCAATTTACACTTTGTAAAATAGTTGAATATCTTAACAATAATATAATTATTTAATACCTAAGATATCGTTTACTTTAGATTTTAAACTTATTAGATATGATAAAAAGGATGCACCCATTCTCTATCCACCTTGAATTAATGACTCTCCCGAGACAGAAAATTTGGGTTTTGATGGTCGCCATGCTAATTTTTTGGAAAGGATATTCTTATCCACCCATTCTGTTACCGAGATTAGATCATTTCTGACAAATGAACTGTTCTTGTTATAAAAATTTACTTGCATGGAAAGAAATATAAAACTCTTTTGTGACAGAACGCTACCGAAGGGGTCACGTGACCCCCCATTATCACGTGATTCGCGCATGAGCAGAACGGTGGAAGATGTGCATTAAAATCGGAAATATTATCAACACTTAAACCAACTATTGTTTCTTTTATGGAATTTATTCAATTAGTTCGCGAACGTTTTGATCACCCCTCGTATGAAAAGGAACCATAGTACCTAAAGAAACTGTACAAGATTTTCTAAAAAAGTTTAATTGTAGAAATATGTTTTTCTCTGGTTTTTGGAGCAATTTTATAGGGAAAAAATTGCCTAAAATTGACACCAGTGAACAATTTTTGGGTACAAGTTATCCAATTGGTATTTATTTGCTCATATTTTGCTTTAAAAATCAACTTTGCAATACTTTCAAGTAAAGTTAAGCCAAATTATGTTTAAATTGATTGTATTTATAAGTTTATGAGGTATTTTATGGTCTAAATAGCTTTTAAATGAAATTTCCCACGCTCCATTTTAGCCTATGTTCGAGGGGTTGAATCTCTCTTAGATGAACACGAACACTTTTCTTGTCTTTAAATTATTCCTTGGATATTACACTTTCAGAAAAATATAAGCATGTGGAAAGTTAAATGCACGTTTTTTCCCCCGGGTATCAGAAGAATACATCTTACAACGTTTTAACTCGTTATAACAATTTATTTAAATTCGTTATAACGAATTAATTTTTGTTGAAATCAACAATCTTTGCGTGAGTTGTCACCATATCGGATGCGTACTTATTAGTTATTACACATTTAATTTCCATTATGAAGTTTGTTGTTCTTTGACATCAACTGTATCTTCTCATCTAAATATTTTAAACTATTCTTGAATATTGTCAAAATCCGAAAATTAAACCTTCTATCAGATCGTAGTTTGAATTTGTTGATATGTTGTCAATAGTTACTATTTCATGATAATTATATTTAAAGTCACACACTGCTTATCTTTTTTAAAGTTCAGATAACCAAGTTTGAAAAGATCTTCCTCTGGTGTTTTATTACTTTGTTTATAAATATAGGACTTTAAAAATCACACAATTTAAAATTAAACGCGTTTCAAGATTTTAAAACGATGACCGATTTATTTACCGACTCCTGTCCATATTTAAATAAAACAAAGTTAATAGTCAATTTAGCTATACAAACGAGAGATTCAAGTTTATAAAATTGGTGAAATTTTTTATTTCAACATGAACGTATATTACGTACATCTACCCTTGTATTCTCGTTTTATGATTTTTAGCTCAGATACACCATATATATCTTCAAGGTCCCTATAAATTCATGTTTTCTTTTCCTTCTTTCTGTTATACACAACAAACATGCTTAATGTATGCATTGGTGCGATGTCAAGGACAAAAGTCCAAAGACTGCATATTGTAACACCGCTTCGTGAAACGCAAAATACGCCCGGCTATGTTTTGGCATTAGAATAAAGATAATTCCAAAACTTACATCTTTTTTCATGAATTAAAAAGTAATAGAATAAATGCCTAATTACATTGTCTTCCTTCTCAACATAACTAGCAGGTACGTGACCGATTTCTCCAAAGCCGTTTTGCACTAGCAGCCACCCGCCCTCCGGCTTCTCGAGATCTGTAAACTGATCACTTTCTTCAAAAGACAAGTCAAAGTTCTTCGTTCTAGCCACATAACTATACAAGGCCCGATACATCTCGATATCAATAACAATGCTTTGTCCACATCTGATTTAGTAAATTAGCAATCCATGCAAATATAAACGACAATGTTCACTTTGAGATTCGCCATGCAAGGAGCTCCTGGTGTATACGTTCCACTGCACAATTAAGTGAAGGTCTTCAGTCTAAAATTTGCACTCGCTTAAAACTACGACGGCTGGATAAGGACATATTTTAAGGGGGATGTACGGCCACCTTTAGTGCTGTGAGAACAAAATGTAAACATTTCTTCAAATGGCTAAAATACATCATATTTTGATCAAATTTTAAGTCCTTATGATAAAGATACAATAAATATTCATAATTGAATGCATGTTGTGCATATATAATCTATACTTTTGCAGAAAAATGCTTTTGATATGCTCCTTAGAACTGCGCAGCTACAGAATTCAGCAGAGCCTTAAAAAATCCAAAAAAATATGCAAACTGTGCATCAATGTTCTCTCTACAACCATTTGTTGAGAAAATGTCTAAATTTTGCACTTTTAAATGATAATTTCAAGTTCAAAACAAGGTATCGTTGTCTTCAAAAAGAGTGTAAAGAACCATGAAAGTAGTTCATGGATAGCAGCACGTGGTTTATTTTTAGCACAGAATTTTGTTTTCCAGACCTCTTCTTAATATGGAAGGACATAACAATCTTTAAATGTAGAAGAGAATTACAGTTGCAAAATATTTCAAATAGTATGAACACTTTTAAAAGAGGAAATGTGTTATAGTATGGCTTGAAGTAATTTATTTAGTATTATTATCGAACAGTTGTTAAATAATGTACTTATTGATATCAAAGAAAAAAAATCTTAAACTCTTTGATTCCAGGTAAGGAAAAATGAGCACCATCAAAGTTAAGAATTAAGAGTTTGTAAGTTTGCCACAGATAACTTATAATATATATCAAAATTTTAATTATCACCAATGAAACACAAAGAAATTAAACACATAAAATCGATATGAATGACCTACTAGTACGAGGGGTGATCAAAAAGTTCGCGAACTATCTTTATATCTACAAAACACAATTCAGATTAGAAACAAATTTGGTGCACACATAGCCAAACACAAGTTCTATAAAATAGCACATGCTGAATAAAGTTTTGCTCATAATGACGTCATTATGCAGGTTCTTGTGACGAAAAATGGTTGCCTCAGTGGAACTCGTTTAACAAACGACTAAAATATTTATGGTACTAGTATATCTTAAAAATGCCTTTGAAGTAGCATATAAGAATTTGTTCATAGTTTATTAAGACAAATGACTTCCTACAAATTCAATCAATGATTGGATAGATCGTTTTAGTGAAGGAAGGCAGATGGTTAAATATGATACTTGTTATATTGCCCAGTGATATATTAGCAAGTTTGAAAAGGAATGTGTTTTTAATTAAGCAATATGCTATCAAAGACCTCCAATTTACACTTTGAAAAATACTTGAATATTTCAACAATAATATAACTATCAAATACCTAAGATATATCGTTTACTTTTTGATCATCCCTCGTATACTCTGTCAAATAAACATTTACAATTTTGATTTTAGCGGAGCAACATTTGAAAAGGAATGAAATCATTCAGAGTGGGTTAGGAGATTTAATGAATAAAAAAACTTTTTCTATTTGCCCTTTTTGTCAAAATCACAATTTTACAGAGTAAAGGAAAAAAATCAACATTAATAAATATTTTATACCATCTTTAAAATGATGTTTGGTGGTTCTCCCAACAAGGGGAAAAATTATTGGGTCCGTATTTATAGGTGAGAAAAAAAAATCCTAAAATTTTAAACATATTCGTTGACGGAAGAAAAAAAAACAACATGTAATAGGATGTAAAAAAAAAATTGAGTCGGGCCATTTCTAGGCAGTAGATCGGGAGAGAGGGCAACCAAATATTTTTATAACAGATAGTCTTATAAGGCTAGTACATGTTCCATCACATACTTAGAAATGCAAAATTTTTGAATCTTTGGCACTATTTTGAAAAACAAACATAGGATTTTTTTGGGGGGTGGGGGTGGGGGTAGCCTCTCATTTTTTTGCGTGATAGACATAGCATATGCAATGGACTTTTCTTTGCAAACATTGTGCTTGCTTCTAAATTTCAAAGTAACAACTCAATATATTTTATCAAGCTTCGTATGTTCAGTGAGCGAGAGCTTACAATGTTGTCAACATAATGAGACATGATGCGTTTTTATGTCCAAACATTACTCCATACAATGTGTGGTTCATTGCAAACAATCTAGCTATTTATGTGAGGTGCCTGAAGGAAATCCTATAACTGCCTATTTTTTCTATCTAACTGCTAAACAAAATAGATACATGTACCAACTTTTCGAATGTAAGACATGTAATTACAATTTGTTTTTCATGCACCGCATATTGTTTAACATTTTCAAATTAAATGCTAAGCATCCTCCTTGCAGTGCCTCATTTGAAAATAACTTCTATCGCCACAGAAAAAAGACCCGCCGTAATCACATATGTTTAGGACATGTATATGATGTTTTATCTTTTTTCTTGAGTTTTAAAGAAACCAACAAATCATCAAGACTTGTTCCATGAAAAATTAAATATCATCATGGTAATAAACGCATCTATCCACAGCAGATATATGCACATGCCAACCACGTGCTCAGTGGAATGATATTATCGAGGAAACTCGAGCTGTAAACAGAACAGATTTTCCCGATTTGCTGGAATGGGGTTAAAATCGCTTTTTTCATTAATCAGACGATGCAATGCAACAAATAAAAGTAGTGAGTAATATAACCTAATGATTGTTACTTAGTAATTTCTTGTCTTGATGTTATTATGGTCGCATTTATTCTAAAACCAATGCTATTCGAACTCTGTGTGACAGAGGAATGGCGGACGAAATAAACACATGGCCTCAGGAAGACACCCATATGAAAAATCAAATTTTCAAGAATTATGGATAATGACAAGAAAAAAGCGAAACAAATGGTTGTAGCCATATTATCAATGAATCAAACTAACGCTACATTCAATGCATTTTTCATCTCGTGAATGCTGTAGCTGCACAGTTCTAACATGATTAATTTCCTCCTAATTAAAACAAAATAAACTTAATTATTAACTGATTTTGGTCTCTAACAGTAGGTAATTAGTGCATTAGCACTTTGAGTAACTTTGGGCTAGTTTAGTAGAGTATTAAGCGCATTCTTGGTATTTCTTATTTTACACCAGACTAGATCCAATATGGCTTGTACATCCCCCTTAAGAACTATTTTTTATTTGTGGCAAGAAATGAAACTTTTTGCATCGCAATAAAACTCTTTGCCACATAATATGCGTGACCAAGTATAAATCTCTGGGAGAACGTAAAATTCATAAAATCGTTATAAATTCTATACCGCTAAAATGAATCGTGGTAACAAAATACAATTATCTGTGGCTACCTTTTTTTTGCATACAATATGTAATGTTTATGTGAAACAACACCATTACTGTCTTTCAAACTTGTACATTTGAAAGTATGTAAGCAATTTTTGTTTGAAGATCCAAAGTCGAAAATATTCTTTCAGAGAAATATAAAAATAATTTGAATAACTTATATTATTGCACCTCGAAATGTCCATACTTGATATCTTTGCCATGGAAGGGGTTAAAGTATTGGGGTTCACTCAACCGATAATGTCCTATATAAAGTTATTAAAACATGATTGTGACATAATTCTGTGTTTGTTTTGTCTCTTCTGCAGTTTAATGTTTCGTTAACTACCCAAACAATCCATTTAGTTTCATGTTAGTGTTTTTGGAAAACTACACGATGTTTTTAAGAACAGTTTTTTTTTCAAAAAGTATGGACAGAATGAAAGTTACAGGTAAACTTTGAAATGTGCCCAAGAGGTAAAAAATATCAAATATATGTACATTAAATACAAATAAATTTACATATGAATAGAACTCAAGGTCTAAGTTAATCCAGAACACAATGTTAACACAACATTCGCTCAATTTTACATTCATGAATAATGTAAGGTTAGTTTACAATTTTTTCACTTCATATAGTTGATTTTCTTAACATATCCGTAATAAAACTCTGCCACAAATAGAATATCACTTTTATCCACATGTACACCATGCGGGGACCCTTGAGATAACAGTTATCTATAGAACGCAGGAATTGTCAATCCTGGTCTAGTATATTAATACAGTTGGTATGGAAATCTGCAGTCAGGATCTAATTCTGGGCTGTCTGTTGTTATCCCAAGAGGTTTAAAAGGTTTGGTTTGAGGAGTAGGATGATTTCCAGTGTATCTAAATCAAAGTTTTCCGGCTTGATTTACTACAACTACAGCATGACCTTTACTATCAGCCACGCAGATATCCCGGTTTTTGTTCTCGGTATTTTATAATTGTATTTCCTTTATACAAAGGCTTACCCTCCTCATCAAGATGGATGATTTCCCAAACAGAAAAAACAGCCTATCGGATCATGCTAACAACTCATGTGTAAATCATGGTTTTGATATGATTTCGGTATAGGAAAATTTCACATGCAAATGAGCTAATGGATCATGGTTCTGAGATGATCTGTTAAACTAAACAACTAGCAAGAAAACCATGATCCTGGTATGATCTGCTGTAGAGCTAACAACTCGTATTAAAACCATGATCCTGAAATGATCTGTTGTAGTTAACAACTCGTATTAAAACCATGATCCTGGTATGATCTGTTGTAGCTAACAACTCGTATTAAAACCATGATCCTGGTATGATCTGTTGTAGCTAACAACTCGTATTAAAACCATGATCCTGGTATGATCTGTTGTAGCTAACAACTCGTATTAAAACCATGATCCTGGTATGATCTGTTGTAGCTAACAACTCGTATCAAAATCATGATCTTGGTATGATCTGTTAAATTGAACAACTCATAGGAAAATTCTACTTCTTATACAATTTTACTAAACACTTTGATATTTGCAATAAAGTTCTCTTTAATATTTGATAAATAATTTCAGTTACCAAAAATTAAGAAAAATATTATACACATATGTCACATGAACCATGACGTCATATAAATATAATCCCAACAAATGATCTTCCTTAATAAGATGACGATTTAAATATAAAACATTATCCAAACTATTCACTGAATTTTATAAAAACAGAATCACAGAAATCCATTCTTCTTAAAGAATAATCCGGAACTCATTGATATCACTGCTTATTTATGATTCTGCAAAAGCATATAAATAAAACATCTGTTCACAACAGAATCAGCAGAGTGGTGGATCTATTATTCAGAATCACAAACACTGAAAGGGCTCTCAATGAAGTATTCTATCCTCTGATATAAGCTCTTTATATGTGTACATAAGCACCCTAAAAAGAAACGTAGAGAAAGTGGTATTTATTTATCGATCAACATATCATTATCTTTAGATCATGAAAATATGACATATTCAGGTACTTTCCCCATTGCATTAGTGAAAAGAATTAGATTAATCACCAAAAGAATACTATTGTTGAAATATAATATTATTTACGTACACAAATTTTGTCTTCACCAAAGGCGGGTCTTTTGAATTTGTTAATTTGAATGCAACTCAGATGTTAATCATGAAGATGGAAATGTCTGTAGCTGCAAAAGAATTTCATTTTTATAAATAAACATTTTATATAAGGATTAACATGTACATGTACAACAAATATTTGAATCAACAAGGTCAATTTGATGCTTAAATTAAGTTTTCAGCTCAAATCCATGTAAAGCTTTGCTATGTCTCTTCTACACATTTACAAAGAAAAAATGAATCATGCACTTGCTGGTAGAAACTAGAAATTAAAAAAAGGTCAACAATAAAATTAATGAATTATACTCACCGAGTATAGAGTTAATAGTCCAGCACTCATTTTTATTGCTTATAAATATGATGCAAACGCTTTTCTTTTAAATCGGCAACAAGAAAACGCGCACATCTTGTTTATCAGAATTCAAATTCTGACCTAGATCAGCTGCAAACCACTGTACTACAGCGTGCTGCCCAGCAGGAGAATTGCATAACAAGGTTACTACGACTCTGAAACTGACCAGTGATCCAATCCTAATCTAATGCCTCAAAGTTAGATTGGGAGTGGATCACAAATATTACATGAAGAGAAAGAGTTTTAATAAAATTCTGGCTGCGTTATTTAAACAAAATACATGTGTGCTAATTTAAATATGAATTAGTGTATTAAATTTGTTTGTCATTTCATTCAATTTCAAAAAAATATAGTCTTTGTTACTATATACCTGTACATGCCGTGTGCATTTTAATTATTAAAACTTAATTTTCCTGTTTTCTTTTAAATAAGACTTTTATTGATGTATGCATGTTGTTTGATTCTCCAAGCTAAAGTGAATTTAAAGCTTGCATTTTCACCTTTCATAGATGACAAAGTTAACAAACCATATCAGGATCATACAACCAATTCTGACAAAGTTAACAAATCATATAAAACTCATGATTCTCAACAGAGAAGTTAACAGATCATGTGTAACTCGTATGGAGTTTAAAGACTAAGTTAAGAAACCATATCAAAATCACAAACTTTTAGCACTTAAAGTTAACGAATCATTTCAAACTCATGTTCCTTTGTTTTCTAAGTTAATGGCACATGTCAGAATCGCAAGAAAATCATAGCAGACTCATTCCCCAGAAACAAACCACATCAGGATCATACTTCATTATTTGTCATCTATGATTTCAGTATGATCCATTTAATGGATCATGTCTAAATCATAGCTCAAAATCATGAATTTGTGAGTTTGATATGGTTTGTATGTGATTTTGGCATGATTTGTTAAGAAAAGTTTTTGTTTGGGTTATTTCTCTTTGGAGCCTGGGTAACGGACAACTTTCGATTGTGTTTGATCGTCACTGTACATGGTAACCAGGAGATCACCAGAGGAGGTGACACAGATTTGTGAAGGTGTCCAGTCCTGAAATCTGATTACCTCCTCTAGCTGTTCATTAATTACTTTATGTACAGTGCTTGTTTTTAAGTCAGACTAAACTAGATAAGTGAGCCTTGAATATTAAAGCATTTCATAGCAATGTCCTTACTTGCCCTTGTCCAGATTTCTTCATCACCGAAACAGGTAACACTTAGGAGATGATTTTCGTATCCAGTATTTATAGTAGTGACGAGCTCTGGTTCCTCTAGGAACTCTTTTTGGGACTCTCTGATTTTGATTTTTTTTGTTTGAAACCGTTTTCTTCTGTTGTGATGTATAAGGGTTAAACAATCCAAACAACTTGCAAAAGTGATCTGCATCTATTATCTTTGGACTGAACGCTGGCAGCAGTACCTGAATTTTTGGACGAAGTTGGACGAAATGAATTCTTTATTTTTAGAACTGTATTCCATGGTCAAGGACATATCTTTTGATTCTTCAATAAGATTCAATTTTAGCGATGTTTTCTCAATCCGGAGTTGTATTTGTCTGATTTCATCCAAATGTTCTTTCAAAATGTTCATATGTTTGATCTTCTGTTCTTCGATTTCTACCTTCATTTTATCGACAATATTATTGATTACTCTGAGACAGTCTTCTCGGTGTTTGGCCACAGTTGTTGTAAGTGTCTCTTTATCTAAGTTATCTATCTGATTTTCTATGTCTCTTGCTACTTCTTCATATGTTGGCGAAATTATGTTTTCGATTTCGTCAGTATCTTTGACGATCACTTCTCTCTTTGCATTAGAGACATCTAAAAGAGTTAAAAGGGTATGTCCCTGGTGTGTATCAGATATTATGTAACACAAAGAACATACAGAAATATCGCATTCTTTACAATGAAATTTACAGTTTTTTTTGTTTGATGCGTTGTAGGATAAATCAAGGTTGATTTTCTCTGCTCGACCGGGACCACTTTATGTTTACCATAATTATCACAAATATGTTCTCCAATGCGAGAAATGCGGAGGTTGACATGACAAATATCACAATACATCTGCACTATAGCATCCCCACAAAGATCACATCGGATGACATCTTGGGTACTTTTGCTGGGATTCATGTTCATGATTTTGGATCTAAAAATTAATCATATATAACAATATCATGGACCCTAAGCACATAAGAATTAAATCGAAAGTATCTTCTAACACAGTAAAATAAGTATATAAACACAAATTAACTGGTTTATCAATGGATTATTAACCTTTCATATTATCTATTATTATTGCTGATATATTAAATTCATAACAAAGCATAATTATTTCTTTCATGGTTTTGGCAGATAAATAATGCTGTCTTCGGTTTGTCAGACAAATCCATATCTTAAACTTATTCAAACGCCATTGCCATGAAATGATCATTTAAATTGTAGTAACTTACATCTTTAGATAGATTATTTCAAATATACGAGGGTTGTCCGTAAAGTTCGTGGACAAGCTCAAATTTGATAAAAAACGGTGTCATTGATATTTATTATTAGCTATTTATAATCCTTTACTAAATGTGAATTACAAAATGTAAAATTGTATTCAATTTTAAATATATAGTAACAATTATGGCTTCATTATTAGACTTGGGATGGTGACCCGGAGCACCGAAAAATTTCAATTAAAAAATTTATTTTTTTATAATTTTCATATGTATTTTGTAAAATTCCGCGAAAATTCGGATTGCTTAAAAATTTACATTATGAGGTTGTCAAAAGTTATAACGTCAAGCCTGCGAAACTTGAATGTTCAGAGTTTAGAAATGGCTGAGAAATTTAGGTTAGAATCTACTGAGACAGGGTCGGCATTGTTCGAAAAAGGGACGTTTTCGGAAAAGGTGGAGCAGAGAGCAGTGATAAAATTCAGTGTAGACATCGGAAAAACACCAACAGAGACCCATAAATACTGTAAATGATCGGGAAAATACAATTAACGAATCCGTTCTTTAGAATTTAAGAGGAATATAAAATTTTTTGAAGGTAGGAACAGCTTACAGGATGACATGCGTGAAGGAAGACAATCATTTAGAGATTACAGTGCTGTAAAAATGAATTTCGTAACGTGACTTTGCCGTATTTCCGTAAAGTCGTTTTACGCGGACAAAGGTTTTTATGATTTTCAGGATCTGAGAAAGGAAGTTTTAAATATTTTTTTACATATGAAATCTGAACAGTTTATACACATTTTTTATGACTGGTTAATGCGACATAAGAAATGTATTGAGTTAAACGGAGACTACATTGAGAAAAGTTTCGTGTATTTAACATGTTTAAAGGCTTTTGACGTCGGGTAACGTCAAGGATTTTCGTTTTAGTGCTCCGGGTATGAGTGTGTGTCTTTTTTGTATCTGATAAAATTATAGCTATTTGTGCTTTGTTTTTGCTTAAAATTTGCATAAGTATAAAATGAAACATTAATTTAATGAAAATTATAGTTTCATATATTTTATCAATGTTTGTCAGTAATTATCGATGTTGTCCACGAACTTTACGGACAACCCTCGTACATTCATTAATTACCGTTTTTTTTCTGTCAAATAAGAATCCACAAATAGCGGACATTGTTATCACGAGGTGGTTTCGAGGTAAATATACAGGTACGTGGTACAGGTACAAAAAACATTACCTTTTGTTCACCTGCATGTGACCTACTAGGTGAACATAAATTTAAAAAAGTCAGCATAAAATAGAGAACTTTTAAACTGATAAAAGTTTCGAAAATTTATTTCAGCTACACCTGGTCTGGACATCATAAACATGTCAGAATTTTTATTCGGAATAGCTTGTCATTTATGATACATATACTGAGTATTATGCAAATAAGCAGCTAGTCTGCATACTTCATTTTAAACGTATAGTAACAATATTGTAATGTTATCAAAATTATACCAATAGTTATACTTTGTTATACTTTATTGTAACCCAGGTAGATAGAATACAGCGTGTGTGCCTCTACCCTGAATTTTCTATAAAAAATTCATTTAGTTGAAAATTATCACTGAAAATCTGTGTGCCCTTCATCCACCCTCCTGAATGGATTGGACAAAAAATACCATAGTGAACTGTAGTTAACTATAGTATCAAAGTAAAAACATTTGAACTTTGATTTATTATTGTAAAAAAAACTTTTGAACAATAGTTAACTGAGGAGTACAACATTCATTGAGCCCAAATACTGACTTTTAACATAACAATGATTGTTTAATTATTTGATTCATTGATCAAATTATTCGATCTCTACAAACCATCTTCTGCACAATTCCTAGCAAAATACACAATGAGGGAAGCAGGTTTACATATTAAATATTTAAATGCTATTAAAGTGGATTTTTAAAAAATATGTTTTAATTGCTATAAAAAAAGATATGTGAATATTCAAACGAGATTAATTAAGAGGTCTAATTTTGCGTTAGATAGGATGATATAGAACTTCATACCAAGCTATAAGAGACAATAAACTGCACGCAAGGTATGCACATAAAAGACAATATGAAATGTTTAAAGCCTTTTGTTATATCATAAAACTTCTTTAAGATTCAGTGGACAATTAGTGTGATTTTCTTTTCGTGTTTTCAAAGAATCATAGTGATTTTGAAAGAATATTTAAAAGAAAGCTCATCCGTTTCCAGTTTCCCTTAATGTGTAATCCCGGTAAACTTTTTATGTTTGTTTTGCCATTACTATAAAATATATATATCATTGAAATAGTACATGCTTTCCCCGGATTTTATTATTTTCAGCAATTCACATGTTATCTTTAATATTTAAGTATCTGATAGATACCGGGGGTATTGATTTATTGATATCACGGATGGAAATTTATATAAAGCACTAAAACTGACCAAAGACACGAACAATAAAAATTGTCAAATTTTCGGGACGCCCTGTCCCTTCCTGTTTTCTGTGTACAATTTCTTTTAAATCTTAAACTCAGATAATAGAATTGTGCAGACATTTTGCTAATATAGTATGGATAATCGTACATAAAAGCTTTATGATAAACGTGATTACTTAAACTTTTCAATCGTTAGCTTTCCTTACGTAGACAGAAATTTACCTTTATTTACTTCATACGGGATTCATATCTCGCAGTTTATTCGATACGCACGGGCAGGCTTTACGTTTAAAACACTTGATAAAACGAGGTTAACAAGTTGATGAAACAAGAATATCAGCTGTCTAGATTAAAGAGACCATTTCTAAGTTCGATACAATCCATCATTATAATAATTGTTGCCCTAAAGATTACTGTTGACATATAAATACCCCAAAATTACAGCTTTTTTAGACCTGCATGGAAATATATTGGAATTGTAGATATAATAGTCCTTATTATTTACAAAATCATTCAGTTTCTGGTATTTTTGGTATTAAGTAATGATGACAAAAACATCTTAATATTTCCTATTTCAAAAAAAACTTTCTTTATGCAAGTTTAATGTGTATATACATGTATACGGTATGGGATTCAGTCCGCACTTATGAAATTCGTGATACCGGTATCTTAAAAGTACATGTTGTCTACAAGATGAACATTCATTTATGTCTTCTAATGCTAAGCAAGCTCACTACAGCTAGTTTTTTGCTAAATTTGTATGAACCAAATGAAACACTTTCATAGAGATGGTATATATCATTTATTTAAATGACGGTATAAATGTAAACAATTTAACTCACAAGAAGAGGATCAGATTCACAAGCTCTGATTGTAGGTTACGTAAAATACATATTATAATGTCTGATCCACCAAAAAAGGAGTACAAAAAGTACCTTTAAACAAAACAACAAAAACAACACAAGAAAAAGTAAGCAAAACAAACTGGGCCGTACATATAAAACAAGAAAATTAAATATCTCAGAAAAGTTTAACAAAAAGACGGCACTGTAAAACAAAATAGGCGGGGATCATCCTCACAAGCTCCGATTGTAAAGTTAAGTCGTAAAATATTATAATCTCTGATACCGCCAAAACAAGTACAGTGCCTATAAAGAAACATCAGATGGTATATCAAAACAAAAAGGAATATCTAATATATTTATCACTGAAAGAAGGGAGGATTCGAAGGGATGGTGTTGGGTCTTTAAATTAGACGTGTCTCATCTAATTGGTGGTCAGCGATGCGGGTCTAAAAATACAACTGTCTCGCTAATCTAGCTGACCACGTGATGGTATACCATTCTTGATTAAGTGTTGATTTATAAATTCGCCAAGGCGTGGGTCTAAGAAGAACTGCGAACGATTGTTTTCCCGCCTACCTCCAAGTCAATTTTCAAAAGTTGGCATATTCGATGAATTTTTGATTTTTTTAATAGATAATTATATGGATTTTCATACAACAATACTTCTTTGGGAAAACAAAAAGAGATAACTCTGAAATTTTGGTAAAACTTAATTGTGTTTTCGCTATAGAAATCAACGGAAAATGGAGAATATATTTAAAACATCTTCCCCCTACCCTTGATACAAAATTCCTTTTTACCGGTAATATGGACTGTTATTTCAAAAATTCATACCAAACCTTTTTTGTGTTTCATGGAGGGAACATGTGTTTATTGACAGAAACGACAGAAATGCTTATTTTCCACCAATTTCAAAGCGATGTACAGCTGAAACATTATATTTATTTATATATTTATGTTTAATTTATTTGCCTAAGACATAAGAAAAGATATCATGAACATTTAATTATATCCAAGTCTAAGTTAAAATATAGTAATGCTTGAAAGTCCGATTTCAATGAAAAATATAGTCTACCCCTATTTTTTTCAAGTGCTGGAATTACGGATAATTTACTATTTAGCGCTGATATTAAGACAATTCATCAACTACCATTGAAATGTACTTTGTATTAAACATATTTATTAATACTAGCATTAAATGCAAAAATGCAATTATTATTCTAATGATTGTTGTTTTCATTTTATCCCATGTTTACGACTTTAACCCGTGGATATGACTCATTACCGGCCGCCAGGAGGCGGTCGGTTATATGATATGAAAGTTTTGGAATGAGAGTACCAAATCCCCGGATGAGCACATGGCGTTGTTTGTGGCACTATGTAGAGTCGAGTAC